GGGATCGTCCAGGCAGCACCAGGCACGGCAGAGCTGATCCCTGCGAGCCGTCGAGGCAGCACCGGCCACGGCAGATCAGGCCACCGGGAGGCCATCCCAGCGGGACCCGAGTGTCTCCAGTCACCGAGAGTCGTCCAGGCAGCACCGGGCACGGCAGACACGGACGGGAGGACTGGCTGTCCGGCCGGGCACCGGGCACGGTAAATCGGGGTGCACAGCTCGGGGCACCATGGGCCCCCCCGGCGTGCTGCCCGCCCTGGCCTGGCTGCTGGCAGGGCTGAGCGTGCCGGTGCCGAGCCGGGCCCAGCTGCACGGCGAGAAGGGCATCTCCATCCCTGACCACGGCTTCTGCCAGCCCATCTCCATCCCGCTCTGCACCGACATCGCCTACAACCAGACCATCATGCCCAACCTGCTGGGTCACACCAACCAGGAGGACGCGGGGCTGGAGGTCCACCAGTTCTACCCTCTGGTGAAGGTGCAGTGCTCGCTGGAGCTGAAGTTCTTCCTGTGCTCCATGTACGCGCCGGTGTGCACGGTGCTGGAGCAGGCCATCCCACCGTGCCGCTCCATCTGCGAGCGGGCGCGCCAGGGCTGCGAGGCCCTCATGAACAAGTTTGGGTTCCAGTGGCCGGAGCGGTTGCGATGCGAGAACTTTCCCCGGCACGGTGCTGAGCAGATCTGTGTGGGGCAGAACCATTCGGAGGACGGCGGCTCCCCAGCACTGCTCACCAGTGCCACGCCGCTGGCCGGCCAGGGCACCCCCGGTGCCCCCCGCTATGCCACCCTTGACCACCCCTTCCACTGCCCACGGGCACTGAAGGTGCCCAGCTACCTCAACTACAAGTTCCTGGGGGAGAAGGACTGTGCAGCACCCTGCGAGCCCACCCGTCCCGACGGACACATGTTCTTCAATGAGGATGAGATCCGCTTCGCCCGCATCTGGATCCTCATCTGGTCCGTCCTGTGCTGTGCCTCCACCTTCTTCACTGTCACCACCTACCTGGTGGACATGCAGCGCTTCCGCTACCCTGAACGACCCATCATCTTCCTCTCAGGGTGTTACACCATGGTGTCGGTGGCCTACATCGCCGGCTTCGTGCTGGAGGAGAGGGTGGTCTGCAACGAGCGCTTCCAGGAGGACGGCTACCGCACCGTGGTGCAGGGCACCAAGAAGGAGGGCTGCACCATCCTCTTCATGATGCTCTACTTCTTCAGCATGGCCAGCTCCATCTGGTGGGTCATCCTATCCCTCACCTGGTTCCTGGCTGCTGGCATGAAGTGGGGCCACGAGGCCATTGAGGCCAACTCCCAGTACTTCCACTTGGCCGCCTGGGCAGTGCCAGCCGTCAAGACCATCACCATCCTGGCCATGGGGCAGATCGACGGGGACCTGCTGAGCGGTGTCTGCTTTGTGGGCCTCAACAACATCGACCCTCTGCGGGGCTTCGTGCTGGCCCCGCTCTTCGTCTACCTCTTCATCGGCACCTCCTTCCTCCTGGCTGGCTTCGTCTCCCTGTTCCGCATCCGCACTATCATGAAGCACGGCGGCACCAAGACGGAGAAGCTGGAGCGGCTCATGGTTCGCATCGGGGTCTTCAGCGTCCTCTACACCGTCCCGGCCACCATCGTCATCGCCTGCTACTTCTACGAGCAGGCGTTCCGTGAGCATTGGGAGCGCAGCTGGATCAGCCAGAACTGCAAGAGCTTGGCCATCCCCTGCCCGCTCCACTTCACCCCCCGCATGACCCCCGACTTCACCGTCTACATGATCAAGTATCTCATGACTCTGATCGTGGGCATCACCTCCGGCTTCTGGATATGGTCAGGCAAAACCCTGCACTCCTGGAGGAAGTTCTACACTCGGCTCACCAACAGCAAGCAGGGCGAGACCACGGTGTGACCCCCCCGGCCCCGCCGCCTTTCGGCCTGAAATATTTTTTTTGGGGTGGGGGAGGAGGAGTTATTATATATTTTTTATTTTTAGATTTATTAACGTCTAAGGGGTATCTCTCTTTCTCTTTCAATTTTTTTTTTTTTTTTTTTTTTGTAATTAAACCTGTAAATAGCATTTGTAAATTTAATTACATATTTCTATTTAAAAATATGGAAAGAGAGGGAGAAAATAGGGGGAGAGGGAGGGAGAAATAGGAGAAAAAGGAAAGGGGAAGAGGGGAGGAAAAGGGAGAAAACAGTGGAAAAGGGCGGAAAAAAAGGGGGAAAGGAAGGAAAAAAGGAGGAGATGGAAAAATGAGCAGCAAAGGGTGGAAAAAGGAGAAGAACAAGGAAAAAATGGGAAAAAGAGAAGAGGAAAGGGAGGAAAAAAGGGAGAAAGGTGAGGAAAACTGAAAAGGGTGGAAAAAAGAAGAAAAGGGAAGAAAAAGGAGAAAAAGGAGAAAAAAAGGAAAGGGAGAAAAAACAGGAGGAGAGAAAAGAGAGATAAAAAAGAGGGGGGAAAGAGAAAAATGAGACTAAAAAAAATGAGAGAAAAAGGATTGGGAAAAAAAGAGAAAGATGTGGGAAAAGGGAGAAAAAAGAGAAGAAAAAGGGAAAAAACACTTTCAAGCCTGGGAGAGGGCCCTCGGCCCCCTGCTCCCCCTTCCCGCTCCGTCCTGGCTCCCCCCAGCTGCTGCTCTGCTGGCCCCTGGAAAAAAGGGTGAAAAAGGAAAAAAAATCCCAATAACAAAGCCCATTTTTCTCACTCTCCTTTTGAAACTCCCCAAGAAAGTGGATTTTTTCTTCCCCACCCCTTTGCTCCCACGAGACCCTGGGCTGGGGCTGCCCCCCCCAGGGCTCTCCCTGGGCCCCCCCACTTGGCCGATGACTTTTCCTCCCAAATCCCTTTTTGAACAATCCTTCACAAATACAAACGAGTCAAAAAAAAATTCCAGACTATTCCCAAGGGCTTTTTCTTTCCCTAAAAAATCCCAATAATTAAATTGTAGGGGTCCCCATGGATTCTGCCAGGCCCCTGAATTCCACCACCCCGTGGGGATGAACCAGTGGCTCCCTCCAGCTGGAACAAAGTGCTTTGAAAGGGGAAAAAAGAGATTTTTAACCCAAAAAATGAGGAATTTGCAGTTTGCAATGGGAGGGGGACCTCTCCTGTCCCCCCCTCCTGCCCCACTGGGAGGAAATAGCTCACATTTTCTCTGGGATTAGGGGTTTGGCTGGGATGGGCCCCCGATCCGGAGGCTCCAGAGAGAAGCAGGTCCCGACTCCAGTTTGATCTGTCGGGATTTGGGGGATGCTGGAGGGGGGATGTAGGGGAGTTTCAGCTGGAGGGGGACAAGCTCAGAACAGGGAGGGGGGTGGAAGGATGGATTTAATCAGCTGGATTTAATTGGAATGAAAAAAAATATTCTTCCCAAAATGGAGAGGGAGACCTGGCTGCAAAGCACTGGCCACAGGGGTGCCCCAAAACCAGCCCTGGGGGGCCTCAGCGCTTCTTGTCTCCCTCATTCCAGGGGATTTGGGGATCCTGGAGCGCAAAGAGGGATTTGCCAGGACATTGCACCATTCCCCTTCTCCCAGCAAAGCCCAGGAAAATCCCCAAACCCCCTTAAAAATCCCAATCCTGTGATGAGGGCGAGGTGGGAGCCGAAGGGGTTAAGACAGCGCCTCTCCAGCACATTTTGGAAAGGAAAAACTCTTTGGATCCGGTTTAATTTTCCAGCGATGACTTGGAAGGGGGAGAGAAGAGGGGGAGAAACGTATCCAGGGCTTCTTTTCCCCCTCCTCTGTGGTTTGGAGAAGCGGTTTGAGGGTCGGGCTGGGCTGGTTGGGACCCCCCCCAGCACACCCTTGGCACCCACAGCACCCCCCAGGACACCCCAGCACCCACGGTTACCCCACCACCCCCTGCCTTGGGAGCCTCTGGAAATGGGAATTCAGGCAGGGTGATTCCTGCTGTCTGTTCTGGTGGTGGCATGGGCAGAATAAGCTTCGGCCAAGGCATCGGGGACCCCCCTGCACCCCTCAATGCCTGCCCCAAGGGTGCCACTTCAGGGGGTCCCCCTTTCCATGGGGGTCCCGGGCCTTATCCAGCCCTGGCTCAGGCTGCTTCGGCTTTGGGGCGCTGCCCTCGGGGTCCTGGCTCCGGCTGGAAGGTCCCGCTCCCCAAAAAGCAGCTCTCCCCCAAGGCCGCTTTGTTTTCCGGAGGCGAAGCGCAGATCACGGGGGACGGGGGGAATGTAAACTCTCCACCCAGGAATGCAGGAGCTCCGAGAAGAGATTTTTTTAAAAGGCTTCATGTCCTGACTTTGGAAAACAGAGCTGGGATCTGGGATCGCCAGGGCTGCTCCCCTGCTCCGGGAGTGCTGAGGAATCTGGGGGTTCTGGGTACCCCACAGGCACTGCTGGGACCCACCGGGAGTCCCTGTGTCCCCTCCCTGACCCACAGGCTGCTGTGGTGGACTGGGAATAGGAGGAACTGAGCCAGGTCTGTGCCATGTGGCCCTTTCCAAGCAATTTTGGGGTCTGGGTTTGGAGGTCTTTTGCTCTCAGGGCTGTTTGCAGCCTGAGCAGGAGCTGGAGGGTGTCTGTAAGCAGCGGTCAGCGTGTGTCCCCCCATCCCCTGCTCTGTCACCCCAAGGACAGGCCACCATGGGAAACACCAGGGACAGGTCACCCCAAAGATGGATCTCCCTGGGAATGAGTCACCCGAGGGACAGCCCTGAGTACAGGTCACCCTGGGAATGCGTGACCCTAAGGATGGGTCACCCCAGGAGCAGGTGATTGATCTGGGGAGAGATCACCCCAAATCCAGCTAACCCCAGGTCACCCCATGTCCAAGTATGGGCATGTCACCCAACCAATGGGTGTCCCCAGGTGCCACTAACCCCAGGGACAGGGGACAGGGACCTCCTCGATGAGCACGGCTGTCCCCAGGCTGGTGACTCCCATCCTCCTCTTCCCCTTTTAAGTGCAGAGGGAGCAAACGCCAGCTCGGGTCGGGCCATGTCCCCGCCCGGCCGTGCGGGGGGGTCCTTTGATGTCCCCTAATGAGCCCTGCTCTGTTTTCACAGCTGCCACCGCCGCAGGAGTCAATTAACGCCCAAACCCGGCCCGGCCCCAGAGCACCCGCAGCTCATCACACCAGTGCCACCAGTGCTCGCGGGCTCGTGTTACTGGGGTTGGGGACAGGGGTCAGCTCAGCCGTGGGGTGACAGCACTGGACTGTCCCGGGACAGGGACAGCCCCGGCGGTGAAACCACGGCAGGGAAGGGAGAGAAGGAGGAACTGGGAGAAGGATGGGCCATGGGGTGTCCCCATGGGGTGGGTCATGGGGCCATGGGGTGTCCCCAGCACTGGTTGTCCCCAGGCCGTCCTGTCCTCTCCTGCTGGCTGTCCTGTCCCCTGGGCCATGGGCTGTCCTGGCCACAGGCTGTCCTGTCCCTTACCCATGGGCTCTCCTGTCCCCTGTCCCGTATGGGGTCTGTCCTGTCCCTTGTCCCCATGGCCCCCAGGTTCCCCTGTCCCCAGACTGTCCCTTCCTTTCTCAGCCCGTCACAATTCCCTCAGGGCAGTGGGATCCATCTCTCCTCTCCCCTCCCCTCCACTGCCCCTCTCGTCCTGGTCTCCAGCAGGAGGTGGCAGAGGGAGGTGACAGGGCACAGGGATGTGACAAGGGACATGTCTTTGCTACGCTTCATGTGTCTCCATGGTCACTTGGTGTGAGGTATTGATTGGTATCACTTGGTTCTGAGACTTCGTGGGGACATCTCTGGCTGTCCCCACCTTCTGGCTCCGTGTGCCTTCATCTCCAAGGGGACAGAGCCAGCAGGGACCCAAGGGACCATCACCCAGTGATGCCGGCGGGGCCCCGGGTGTCCCTGGCCCCGTTGTCCCCGCCGGGCGGGCTCTGGAGCGGGATCTGGCCGCGGCCGAGGCCGAGCCCTGGCCGGACGCCAGCGGGGACAGGCGGCTGAATTCGGCTCCGGCCGCGCCGCTCTTAAAGGAGACGGAGCCGCGGGGGCTGCCAGGATGGAACCTCGGGGGGCCCTGGCGGGGAGGGTCCCCCGAGGCAGGCTCAGGATCCTGTCCCCATCCCACCGTCCTGCCCAGGTGTGCAGGGGTGGGATCCATCCCGTCACTGTCGCCGGAGCCGTGGGGGGATCCTGGCTTTGTACAGGAACACACCTGAAGGGTGGGGGACTGGGGAATGTGGGGCCGCCTCCACAGCCCAGCATTGTCCTGCAGAGCTTGGGATCAGTGGCTGTGATGAGCTGTGTCATTCACAGTGTCCTGCCCTGGACACAGGGATGTGGTGCTCCATCCCAGCACCCCTCCTGCAGGGTAGGGGATGGATGGACACAGCTGGATGGATGTGGGACTCCATCTCCATCCTGGATAACTCCTGGAGAGCCTGGGATGGATGGACACCGGAGGGGTGGGCACACGGGCTCCTGTCTCCATCCTGGTGCACTCCCTGGAGAAGCTGGGGTGGGTGAATGTGGGACCCCACCAACATCCAGGGCCCATAGGCCAGACAGCATAGGGTGAATGGACAAGGGATGGATGGGCATGGATGAGTGGATGGATGGACACAGGGTGGACAGACACAGATGTGATGGGTGGACATGGAATGAGGAGATGGATGGATGATGGATGGATGGATGGATGGATGGATGATGGATGGATGGATGGATTGGATGGATGGATGGATGGATGGATGGATGGATGGATGGATGATGGATGGATGGATGGATGGATGGATGGATGGATGGACATGAATGGATGCATATGTGTGGAATGGGTGGACATGAGGTGGATGGACATGGAGTGGATGGACACGGATGGAATGAGTAAGCACAGGATGGGTGAACACGGATGGATGGATGGATGATGGATGGATGGATGATGGATGGATGATGGATGGATGGATGGATGGATGATGGATGGATGGATGGATGATGGATGGATGGATGGATGGATGGATGATGGATGGATGGATGGATGATGGATGATGGATGGATGATGGATGGATGGATGGATGGATG